TGACTCTCTTTCCCTCTCCCTTCCCCTCTGTAAAAAATAAATAAATAAATAAAACATATTAAAAAAGAAAAGAGAGCCAAAACTGGTTTGGCTCAGTGGATAGAGTGTTGGGCTGCGGACTGGAGGGTCCCAGGTTCGATTCCGGTCAAGGGCATGTACCTTGGTTGCGGGCACATCCCCAGTGTGGGCTGTGCAGGAGGCAGCTGATCAGTGATTCTCTCTCATTGATGTTTCTAATTCTCTGTCCCTCTCTCTTCCTCTCTGTAAAAAAATTAATAAAAAAAAAAAAAAAAAGAGAAAGATGTGCTGAGCTGAAGGAAGATACAACGGTTCACTGAGAAGGGCCACGGAGCTCCAAGCGGCACACACAGAAGACAGCGAAGCAGCCCCCTCCCAGCCCATCCTGAGCGCTGACTTGGAGGACAGCCAGGAGGGCATTCGGATTGAAGCGGGGGGGGGTGGGGGGGGGGCTCTGCGCCTGGCCGCTTCCTGTGTCCTCACCCGCCAGGCCCCCTCATTTGTGAGGTCCGGCCCCCAGCTGCGGAGCCCCCGTGTGCAGCCCAGGCAGAGGCCAGGGGAGAGCAGCCGGGCTCCCGTCTTAACAAAAGCACAGGGAGAACGGACAAGCTCTCAGCCTCGTCAAGGCGGCGCCCCAGAAGTATGGAGTAGACGAGGGAGTAAGAATGAGTGAGGGCGAGAGCACACCGTCCACCGGTTACCCTGGGCCCTCCCGCTCTCCATCCCGCCATCTCCCCACTACACTCCCCGAGCTCACCCTGCCTCTGGCCGGCCGGCCCTCCCTCCGCTCTGGCTCCTGCAGCAGCCCCTCCTGCCCGGCTCTCCAATCTCACTCCTGTGGCCAGGGAGGTCGTCCTAAAACAGCCTGAGCCCAGCACACTCTGCGCAAACTTTCCCTGGCTCCTGCTCCCAGGACAGCCCAGTCCCCACAGAGACCCCGCAGCTGGCGGCCATCGCAGATGCACTCCCTCCCTGAAGGGCAGCCAGCTGGCTCTCCAGGCTGTGGCCGGACAGGGAGAAGGGGCCGGCAGGGGCCCACTGGGCCGGGCGGATGAAGGCCTGGCACGCAGGGCTGCCCGGCGGCCCGGCCTGCCAGCCTCACAGTGGCAGGTGAGTACCCAGGAGTGCCTTCTCTGCCCAGGGCCCCCTTATCTTCAAAGCTTCTGCGGTGGAGAAACCGCAGCCGCAGCCTCCTCCCCGAGTCCTCCCCCGCCCCCGTGAGAAACAGGCCCTTGGCCTGGGTCCTCTGGCCAGTCTTCCCCGCTACCTGCAGCCAGGCAGGAGGCGCCATTCAACGGCAACAAACCACCAGGCGGCTGTGGTGATCGGGGCCTGTGCTGGGGGCACGGACGGGCGAACGAGCCACCGGCCCTGTCCTCAAGCTGGTGAGCGGGCGGGCCAGACGCCACAGACAATTTTGGAGCCAGATGCTGGAGCCCTGGTTTTGCCCCTGGTCATGGCCGTGTGTCCTAGAGCAGTGTTTCCCAAAGTGCGGTCCGCGTCCCCCCAGGGGGACGGGGAGAGTTGGGTGGGGGTACGCGTCGCACCGGAGTTCGGTGGGGATGTGCACTGCACCGGGCTTAGCTGCGCCTAATTCTACGCTCTCATGAGGACGAGGGGTGCTCCGCGTTACGGAAATTCTAGAAGGGGCACACACATGTCAGAAGTTTGGGAAACACTGTCCTAGGGAAAGGCCCTCCTCCTTAAAGCGGGATGAGAATGTCCACTGGAGGCCTGCCCTTGGCTCAGACGGGACCCCTGAGGACCCAGAAGGAAGGAACGAGAAGGGGGGGGCCAGGGGTGAAAGGGGACGGAGAAAGCTGAGCACCTTCCCACGACGGGCCCCTGAGACGGGGCTGAGGTGGCAGGGCTGTGGGGACGCTCCGCCTCTGGGGTCTGTCTGTGTGGACCGGCACTGGAATTCCAGGGGCAGCGGGCGGAGGACCACTGGCTTCGGGCGCTCGGAAAGCCCTGCGGGGAGCAAACCTGAGCACCCGAGAGTCCCACACTCGCCTGACCACTTCTAGAAACCCTTAGCTCTGCAAGGAGCGTGTAGGGAGGACACACCAGGACGTGCAGACCAGGGCTTACAGCTCAGTCTCTGGAGGCGGGAGGCCTGGTTCCGATCCGGCTCTGCCAGGGGGAGCAGGACCCTGGCCCTGCCCGCCTCGGGGCGCTGTTAGGAGGATCATGTGCAAACACTGGCAGGGGCTCACACTGCCCAGCGAGTCCCAGTCCCCGCCCGCCCTCCTCGGCACTGGGCCGTCTCCAGGTCCTCACCTCGCCCACCCAGAGGCCCTACTGTGTGGTGAGCCACACAGACCTGGTTCCAGCCCACACCACATGCTCTGGGGCAGGAGACGGATGTGACCCAGAGGGTCACAGAGACACATCATTCACACATAAACTGACGGAGGAGGGGGGCTGCCCCAGAGAGACTGGGGCAGGGGCGGCGAGAACCTAACGAGGACACCGGACTTCCGGGGACTCCGGTGGCTCCTCGGAGGAGGGGCCGTGTGGGCTCAGACTGGAAGGACTGACAGGTGTGAACCCGGAGAAGCTCTGACAGGTGACATGAGCTGGGAGAGGAAGGCGAAGGCTGGGACAAGCAGGAAGAGGGGACCGGGATTAAAGGAGAGGGGACGATGTGACACAGTGAGACAACAGAACGGGCAGGCCTGGTTGGCTGAAGGTGATGGAGAAACGGCACATGGCAGGGACCACTGAGTTTCTGGCTTGAAAGTCAGGATGAGCCCTAGCTGGTCTGGCTCAATGGATAGAGCATTGACCTGCGGACTGAAAGGTCCCAGGTTCGATTCCGGCCAAGGGCACATGCCTGGGTTGTGGGCTCAATCCCCAGTAAGGGGTGTGTAGGAGGCAGCTGACCAATGATTATCATCGTTGATGTTTCTATCTCTCTCTCCCTCCCCGAAGTCAATAAAATATATGAAAAAACAAAAACAAAAAAACACACAAAAGTCAGGATGGATGGGGCTGCTGAGACAGTGCAATGCCCCCGCCCCCTCCATCCCCAACACACAGGCCAATGCAGACCCTTCCCTGCTTTCCGTTCCGCACAGCATCTTCCCCACGTACCACACACGTGACTCACTTTTCTCATTTGTCTGTCTCCCACACTGCAACAGCTCAGGAGGGCACTGAGTTACCCCGGAGCCGCATCACGGCCTGGCACCCGCAGGTTTCAGTTGTTTGATGAATGAACGAGCCCTGAAAAAACTAGGTTGACATCATATCTAACACCCTCCTTAGGGCTTCTAAATTGGGAAGAAAACCTAGGCCACTAAAAATATCTTATAGCCCTAGCCGGTTTGGCTCAGTGGATAGAGCGTCAGCCTGTGGATCAAAAGGTCCCGGGTTCAATTCTGGTCAAGGGCACATACCTTGGTTGCAGGCTCCTCCCTGGCCCCAGGCCCTGGTCAGGGCACACGTGTACAGGAGGCAGCCAATCAACGTGTTTCTCTCACATCAGAATTTCTCTCTGTCTTTCCCTCTCTCTTCCACTCTCTCTGAAAATCAATGGGAAAAGATATCCTCAAGTGAGGATTTAAAAAAAAAAGTCTTACTTATACAAGATGATCATAATAAGAATATTAATGAAAAAAGTGAGCCCAGCCCCCATTTAGTATGCACACACTCTCTCCTCCACCCTTTCTTCTTAGTAACAGACTTTGCAGCAATAACTCCCATCCTTTGAGGGCTGATTATGTACTTTTTAAAAATATATATTTTATTGTTTTTTTACAGAAAGGAAGGGAGAAGGAGAGTTAGAAACATCAGTAAGAGAGGAACATCGTTCAGCTGCCTCCTGCACACTCCCTACTGGGTAATGTGCCTGCAACCAAGGTACATGCCCTTGACCGGAATCGAACCTGGGACCCTTGAGTTCGCCGGCCCACGCTCTATCCACTGAGCCAAACCGGTTAGACCTGATTATGTTTCAGACATTGCACTAAGAGCTTTAAAGTTTGAGCTTGCCTGTAATTTATAACGACCAACTTCCAAAATGCTGAGCATGCTCCTACCTCAGGGCTTCCACCTGTTCCAGACATGCTTTCCCCCCATGTATCCCTGGGCCTTGCTTCCTCCCTCCTCTTCCTCAGAAACGCTCTCCTCTAGAATCTACCACGCCACGCCTTTTCTTTCCCTGACTTTACTTAGGTTTTCCCTATGGAAATTTTCACTAGTTCTCCACAGGACTTTTATCGTCCGTTTGACAACCCTACTAAAATGTAAGCTTCATAACAAAACTAAAAAGTGTATAAAAAACATACAAGCTTCGCAAGGACACTGAAACAGTACCATGAACATTAAGACATTCATTAAGTGTTGTTAAATTAATAAATGTCCCACTCTGAGACTTAGGTGGCTTCGATGCCCATTTTATAAAGGAAGAAACTGAGGCACAATGATTCTCACACCTAATGAGTGTCACAGGGATTCAACCCAGAAGTCCTCAGAACACCTCCAATATAGTAATTATTATAATTACTGCCCACTTATTCAGTGCCAGGATTTGAGCTCAGAGCTTTAACCCGAGCTGTCTCGCTCAATCCTACAAGCAACCCGTGAGGCCTTCCCAGATGGGACCCCCAGAATAGTTGTCGGCAAACTTATTATAGTCAAGAGAGCCAAATATCAACAGTACGATTGAAATTTCTTTTGAGAGCCAAATTTTTTTAACTTAAACTATACAGGTAGGTACATTGTTATTAACTTAATTAGGGTACTCTTAAGCTGGCCTTTGCTAAAAACTCAAGGGGCCAAAGAGCTGAATGTGCCTCGCGAGCCGCGGTTTGCCGACCACTGCCCCAGAGTCCAGAGGTCGGAAGCCAGAGCCCCAGGTCGCCCGGCGGGGCGGGGCGGGGGCGGGGCCAGAATTCGACCCGGGCCGCCGCCACGCCCTCGCGCGCCCCCGCCCCCCGGGACCTCTATCCCACTCTCCCGCCGCGACCTGCGCTCACCCCGGGGCCGGGGTCGAGGTCGGAGTCGGGCGCCCACAGCTCCGCCACCATCTCCGTGTGTAGAAGCTCGAACAGAACCGCGTCCACCATTCGTCGGCCTCGCGCGCTCCCTACCGCCCGGCGCTTCGTGCTCCCATTGGCCCGGCTGAGCTAGCCCCGCCTCCCGCTGCGGGCCGCGAGCCCGCCTACTCACGCTCCCACGGTGTTCCCGGGGAGCTTCGCCCTCCCCCTCCTCACACGCGGTGCGCGCGTGAACTTGGGGGACCGCCTTCTCCGCCTATTTGTCCACTCGTCTCGCAGCACAACGCGGAAGCGCAGCTAAAGCGCTTCTCTATTGGTGAGACTTTTATATACCCGCCCACAACGTAGGTCCTCGGGGCGGCTTGCTGCCTGGTAGGCCCACGTGATTGGTCAACGCCCGCCCAACCTGATGTCCTATTGGTTGGGGCTGCCACGCCTCCCTCCGTACCGGCGCTGCACTTCCGCTGGGTAGCGCGTTCCGCAGGCTCCGAGCTTCCTCTACCCGGTAAGGTCCTTAGTGATGGCGCAGCCCGCCGCCCCCGCTAGTCAGTGCTCCCTTCTGAGTGCGGCGGGGCTGTCGGTCACTCTATGACCCCGGCACAGGCCCCTGAGCAGATCCTGGAGCCCCTGAGCTTCCGGATGTGGCCTCTGCTAGGAGGCAAAGTCGGAAAGAGCCCGTTGTGGGACCCTGAGAGCTGCGGCCTCGGTTTCCCTGTCAGTGCACGGAAGAGGGTGGTGGGGTCCAGGAGCCCGGACATCGCTGGCGGGGATGCTGAGTCCCTGAAGTGGGAAATGAGGTCCAGGCCAGGGACGTGATGGCCCCAAATCGCTAGGATAGTGGAGGGGCTGGGGACCCAGAAGGTGCACCTTTCAGCCGCCCCGGGCGCCCGCCTCTCACGCCGGCCCTGCGCTCCTCTTCCTCCCTAGCTCGGCGCCATGGCGTCTCGGGGTCCTCGGAGGAGGCCGCCGCGAAGGCCCGGGACGCTGGTGCGGGGAGAGGCGGCGGAGACCGACTCGGAGCTCTCGGCGTCCTCGTCGGAGGAGGAGGAGCTCTACCTCGGACCCTCGGGCCCGACGCGCGGCCGCCCCACCGGGCTGCGGGTGGCCGGGGAGGCCGCGGAGACGGACTCGGACCCGGAGCCGGAACCGACGGCCGCGCCGAGGGACCTGCCCCCGCTCGTGGTGCAGCGGGAGACGGCCGGGGCGGCGGCCGGGGAGGCCTGGGGGGCGGAGGAGGCCCCGGCGCCCGCCCCGGCGCGCTCGCTGCTGCAGCTCCGACTGGCCGAGAGCCAGGCGCGCCTGGACCACGACGTGGCGGCCGCCGTGAGCGGCGTGTACCGCCGCGCGGGCCGCGACGTGGCCGCCCTGGCCGGCAGGCTGGCGGCCGCCCAGGCGGCTGGGTTGGCGGCCGCCCACAGCGTGCGCCTGGCGCGGGGAGACCTCTGCGCGCTGGCCGAGCGCCTGGACATCGTGGCCAGCTGCTGCCTGCTGCCTGACATCCGCGGCGTGCCCGGGACCGAGCCCGAGCAAGACCCAGGACCGCGGGCCTAGCCTTGACCCCAACCCCCGCCTGCCTCTGCGTCCTGGGGGAGGAAGGGGGGCCTGTGACCTGGCTCATACCCTATATAGCCCCCCTCCCGTCTTGCTGTCATCCTCAGGGCCCGCCCCCCCCCCCCCCCTGGATATGTGTGTGTGTGTGGAGGGGTTGGGGGGAGGTAATGGTGCTTAGTCCCACCATTTGCATCTGGTTCCTCCCAGTGGTCCTGGCCCTTCTCCTGATGCCTAGCCTGTATGTGAGGCTGGGCTCCAGCCCCTGGATAACCAGCTGCTCCATCTTAGGGGCTCACTGTCCGTCCGTGTGTGTGTGTGTCCCTTCCTTGCACTCTGCCTTTCTAAGTTTGGATTTTGCCCTCGGGAGCTTGATGCTGCTGCTTCCCAGAGGAGCCCCAGCATCTATGGATAAGGGCTGCCAATCTCTACAGACACCCACTTCCTCTGCGTTAAGCATCCTGCAGACTCCCAGCTTCCTGGCACTTTCCTTCACCCTCCTGGCTCTGCCTCCATTCTAGCTACACTTCTGGAAGTTTGTCCCCCAGGGCTGGACCCTTTTTCTGTTCCCCAGGGCTGGCCCTGGCTCCCTCCTAGGTTAGCCCTTGCTCTGCCATCTCCCAGCTGCTTCTCCTGGGGCTTAGCTCCGCCCCTTTGGCCTGTTCCATCACCTGGGTCCGGTTTAACCTTAGGATTGGTTTTGCTTCATTTTTGCGTTTCCCATCCTGCTTACACCCCCTGCCTGGTCCCGGGCTCTGGAAACCCTATGGTTTGTCATCAGTCCCAAGATAGGCCCCTCCTCCCCACTCTGCAGACTCAAGATGGCGTCTCATCCAGACCCAGAAGTAGGTGGGTCCCCCGCACTTTGTGCCTGAGCGTGAGATACAAAACGGGCTTCCTTCCAGGCGGACAGTGGCCCCTCAGGCACCTGGGGTCCAATACAGACTGCCTGGTCCCTTGGGCGCAGTATGATACCACTTTGCAGATAAGGACCACACACCTGGTATTAGTTTACTGTTCTGTTCCTTCTTCTGGCCCCAGCCCTAGTCCCTCAGCCCCACTCACATGTATGCTCCTCCCCACTCTTTTATCCCAGCCTAAAACTGAGATCTGAGTCCCAGGATGGAGAAGTGTGGGAGATTAATGAATCTATGGCAGATGCATTAAAAGGCAAAACATTGACTGAAATGGTCAGTTCCTCTTCCCTCCCCACTTAGGCTGGGGGTGGGTTGATTAGAAGTTTCTCTGAGCCGAAACCAGTTTGGCTCAATGGATAGAGCGTCGGCTTGGGGACTGAAGGGTCCGGGGTTCGATTCCAGTCAAGGGCATGTACATTGGTTGCGGGCATATCCCCAGTAGGGGGTGTGCAGGAGGCAGCTGATCGATGACTCTCATCGATGTTTCTAACTATCTCCCTTCCTCTCTGTACAAAATCAATAAAATATATTAAAAAAAAAAAAAGTTTCTCTGAGAATGGGGGTTCTGAGAGATCCTTCCTGGCTGGCCTAATGAAGGTGAAGCTGCATCTGAAAATGAGGGCCCCTCATTTGCCTGTTTCTTGCCTGGTTCTGCATTTATTTGTATTTTGTTAACTTGTATTTACTGGCCACCTGCCTGTTCTGTGTCTGGTCTGTGCTGGGCACGGGTGCAACCAGTTCAGACTCTCAACTGAGCTCACAGCCCACTGGGAGAGACGGACATTAATAAAATATTCTTGTAAACAGATGGGTAGTTTTAATAATTATGATTTACAGCTTAGATTTCACTGTTCTGGCACTGTGATTTGTGTCGTAAAGAGGTACAGGAGTTTTGCGAGGGTGTAACAGATCTGGCCGACCTTGTTTGGGGAGACAGACGGGGAGGTCAGCTGGCTTTGCCGGGGAAGCAATGAGTGAGTCTGAGTTGAACCCTGAAGCTATAAGTAGGAGGAAGAGTGGGGTGGAGAAACCCTGAGTCAGAAGGGAGCATGACCCATTTAAGTAACAGAAGGTGGCGACCAAGGGCCAGGAAATGGCTCTGAGTGGGAAGAGGGCACATAAGGTTTACAAGGCACAAAAAACAGGAACCCACTCTTGGCAGTGGCCAGCGCCCTGGGTGTTGACATTGCTGCTTTTGTGGTGGCAGCTGTGCTCACCACTGCCCCCAAGGCTTTTGAGAGGGAGCGACAGAATGGACTGGAGGTGTCTCGGCGAATGTTAGAGTGCCCTGAGGTATTTCATGTCCCAAGTAGGTGGCAGTGGTTTGCACCCACTGAAGATTAGATCTGGAGGCTTTCCCGCCTCGTTCAGCCAGTGCCTTAAGGATTAAGGAGAACGAGGAGTCTATGAAGTCACCCTGCCCAATCTGGTTACAGAGTAAGAGGGCATGGAAACCCTGAACAAGGTGAAGGCCACAAAGCCTGCACCTTAGGAACTTGGGAAAGCGTCGGCCTGTGGACTGAAGGGTCCCGGGTTCGATTCCGGTCCAGGGCATGTACCTTGGTTGCAGGCACATCCCCAGTGGGGAGTGTGCAGGAGGCAGCTGATTGATGTTTCTCATCGATGTTTCTCATCAAATGTTTCTAACTATCAATAAAATATACATTTTTTTAAAAAACTTGGGAAATACTGAGGGAGACTAGCAATGTCGCTGAGGCACAGGAGTCCATGTTGCCTCCCTCTAAACAAAGCAAAGAGAAGTCACCAATCAGGATGCAACGGGATGGAAAAGAAAGCTGAGCAGAAGCAATGACTATAAACGGTCTGTGTCAGCAGGAATTGCTGTGAGCGCGGACTGAGTGTGACCAGGAATTACAAAAGGGCTTACATTGTGCAAGTAGAAGATTTGATTCTCTTCTGAATCAAACTTGCCTTCTGTTCCAAGTAGGATTGAAGTGCTGCCGGGTGAGGACTTGCTGCGGAGGAGGCTTACAGGTTTGATGCCTTGTTACCTAGAGGATGAATGAGATTAGAAATGAACTAGAATTGGGCTACAGGTGAGAGAGGGTCTATTCCTTTTCCAGACACTGCGCAAGTTCTGCACTCAGTAATGCAGCCCCGTTTGCATATGAGCCCCAAAGACTAATCAGAACATATCTTAAGGTTCACTCCTCTTCAGATTAATTTGTATCCAGAAAATAGGAAGTTCGAGGTTTGATCTGAGGGCAGGGATATAAAAAACATCTTGGGCTGAAACCAGTTTGCTCAGTGGTTAGAGCGTCTGCCTGTAGATTGAAGGGTCCCAGGTTCAATTCTGGTCAAGGGCATGTACTTTGGTTGCGGGCACATCCCCAGTAGGGGGTGTGCAAGAGGCAGCTGATTGATGATTCTCTCATCAATGTTTCTAGCTCTCTATCCCTTTCTCTTCCTCTCTGTAAAAAATCAAAATATATATTCACACACACACACACACACAAAACATAGTTTTAAAAAAAAATCTTGGTGGTGTTTTTATGACTAGAGGCGGGTGCACGAAATTCATGCAGGAGGGTCCCTCAGCCCAACCTGCACCCTCCAGTCCAGGAGCTCTCAGGGGATGTCCTACTGATGGCTCAGGCCCACTCCCCGTGGTTCTCTGTGGGTCGAGAGGTTTTGCTGCTGCCATGGAGATGACGGCCCCATGCCCTGCCCTCTGCTCTCTGCCTGCCTCCGCCATGCGCCATGCGCCATGCCAAGGAAGGCACAATGCCCTGCACTGTGCTCTGTCGCCAGGCCTGGGGCTTCGCTGACCTGACACACTGAGGAGGTCCCCATGCCCTGCTGTTTGGGCTCTGACTGCTTGTCTGGGGGCAGGGCAAGACTCCATGCTTGGTCCCCCTAGAACCTGGGCGGGGCTAACAGGCCCACACACTCAGCAGTGGTGGAGCGGGGAGGCAGATCCAGCCTCACTGCTCCTGCAGACAGGCCGACTCTCCAGCAGCGGGCTGAACGGACTGGGTGCCGCCATCTTGTGGCTATGGGGGCCTCCATTTTGTCGCGGAGTGATGGTTAATTTGCATATTGTTCTATTATTAGATAGGATGGTGAGAAGGCTAAAAAGGGCTAATTCCAATGTAACCCTGATAATTTGGGGGCTAGCAATTGGAATCCATGCTGGCAAGCTCAGTGTACATTCTTTTTTTTTCTTTTCTTTTTTTAAAATATATTTTATTGATTTTTTTACAGAGAGGAAGGGAGAGAGAGCTAGAAACGTCGATGAGAGAGAAACATCGACCAGCTGCCTCTTGCACACCCCCTTCCAGGGATGTGCCCGCATCCAATGTACATGCCCCTGACCGGAATCGAACCCGGGACCTTTCAGTCCACAGACCGATGCTCTACCGCTGAGCCAAACCAGTTTCGGCTCAGTGTACATTCTTTGATAACCTATAATTAAGTCACTATCTCCTTCCCGGAAACTGGTCTTGCAGAACCTGTTGCAGAGGCCATAAAACTGAATAGCGCACTGCCATCAGATCCGGCCTGGAGACCCCACGCCTGGGGGCCTCTTGCGAGGCCCGAGAAAAGGGCCGGAAGCGGAATCCATATTTGTGTGACAAAGACTGGAGGGAGGTATAAAGAGAAGCCCCCTGCATGTTTCTTCACTCGGATTTGGAAAGTCATTCCCTGAGTCCCGGTGTATTAAACAGTGTCCCTCCTTTTCTGCAAAGCATCACTTGGTTTTCTTTGATCTTCTGCAACAATGGTGGCGTTGAATTTCCATATCAAATCTGCCGAAAGGTTTGCAGGTGAGGAATCCGGAAGCAGGAAGGCCCTGGGGATGAAAGAGGGCCCAAGGCTGTCAGAGCTGCCCCAGTTGAGGCAATAAAACAGAGATTCGCCACAGCTTGAATGGATTAGAGGCCGGGGCAGAGACAAATCCTCTGAGCCGAGGGTAGGAAAAGTTGCACCACTGTCAGGGGAGTAGGGGGTGTGCAAGAGGCGGCTGATCGATGATTCTCTCTCATCCTCTCTGTAAAAAATCAAAAAAAAAAAAAAAAAAATATATATATATAATATAATATAAAAAGAATAAGGTAGCCGAGACCAGTTTGGCCCAATGGATGGAGCGTCAGCTTGAGGACTGAAGGGACCCGGGTTCGATTCCGGTCAACGGCATGTACCTTGGTTGTGGGCATATCCCCAGCAGGGGGTGTGCAAGAGGCAGCTGATTGATGACTCTCTCTCATCGATGTTTCTAGCTTTCTATCTCTCTCCCTTCCTCTCTGTACAAAATCAATAAAATATATTTAAAGAAAAAGAAAAGAATAAGGTAATAAGGTGACCAGACATCCCGCTTTTGGCGGGACAGTCCTGATTTTTAACAATTTGTCCCACATCCCGCGGGACAAATTGTTAAAAATCGAGATGTCTGGTCACCTTACGAACCACACACTACTGGCCGGCTTGGCCCTCACCGGTAACAATGCAAACCTGCGGACAACAGCCAAGAAGCAAAATCTCAACAGATTGAACAAATGCTCTGGAGAACGGCAGTTTTTCAGCTTACACATTAGACAGGAGGGGACGTAAGGAGGGTTGCATGATACCCACTGGTGCTAAATTAGGGAGGCAGGAGAAAGCAAAGCGGGGGAAATCTCTGGGATTGGATAAAAATAAAATGGAGAGCCGAAACCGGTTTGGCTCAGTGGATGTTCCTCTCTCACCAATGTTTCTAACTATGTCTCTCCCTTCCTTTCTGTAAAAAAACAAATATTTTAAAAAATGGCTGTACTATTAATAAATAAATAAATAAAATGGAGGCACATCCTTTGACACTGTTGGGTCCAGGAGAATTAACTCACATTTACAGGCACAGAGACGGTGTTTGGGGGAACAAGATGACAATGAGGGGTCCTGTGGGCCCGCCCCGGGCAGCAGGTGCGCCCTGCGGGTCTGGAAGAGGCATTTGCTCTGGCATTTGGAAGGCATCTTAGATGCCAGCAGACCGCAGGCAGGCTCAGATAAGATCAAGATTGCTGCAAGCCTAGGGCATGACTACCCGCCACGGCCCACTTTTGGGGATTTTAAAAAATGTTCAGACCATCCTGTGTGGTTACTCCGGCCTCCGGATCTGTAAGGCCACCACCGGCACTCAGGGTTGGTCTGTGGCCCTTGTTCTTCCGCACCCTGACGCACACAGGCAAACATCTCTATGTGCTGGGGCTTCTGGGTTTGATGCAGCCTGTCCTCAAAGAGCCTGTAGCCCTGGCCAGGTAGTTCAATTGGTTAGAGCCATCCTGATATGCCAAGGCTGGGGGTTCGATCCCCGGTCAGGGCACAGACAAGAAGCAACTAGTGAATGCACAAATCCCTCGCTCTCACTCTCCCTCAGTCCTTTCAAATCAATGTTTTAAAAAGAAGAAAAAGAAAAACCCGTATAACACCTTCGGCAAATGGTTTAGGACGCTCGCCTGCTTTCTGAGTGACCTCCTTTGAGGCCTCAACCTGGGTCATTTCCGGGCCGTTTGCAGGAGCAGCAGGGAGGGGTTCTGGCTCCCAGGTCCCCCAGTGGGAAGCCTTAACTGCAGGATCATCATGGGTCGAAGAATGCTCCTTACAAGCCAGTCAAGCCCTGGCTGGGTTTGCTCAATGGATAGCGTGAGGCACGTACCTCAGCTGCAGGCTCCTCCCCAGCCCCGGCCCTGGCCCCGGTCAGGGCCCGTTCAGGAAGCAACCAATTGACGTGTTTCTCTCCACATCAGCATTTCTCTCTGTCTTTCCCTCTCTCTTCCACTCTCTCTAAAAAAATCAATGGGGCGAAACCGG